TAATAATCTGGCAAAACAAACTTTTCTTTTTGCAAAACTATTGATTATTATGCATCGTCCCTGATCAAATAAATAAACAATTTTGTGTTTCTTGTTTGCATAAAACATACAGCATGATTCTATTTTGATGTACTCCTTAAAAGCCACATAGTCATTAAAGGCATTTCTGCACACAGCCTTAAATCAATAGTAACTTAATGTGTCAAACGCATCGTCGTTCACCAATTACTCTCGGCACGGACAAGACAACACGAAAAAACCTCTTTTAACCAACCCGAATGGAAATAACAGAGTGTGGTGCCATTGATCTCTTTTAATCTGTGCAAAGGGGGATTGTCCACAGCCACTGGTGACTCGTGCTAATCTCGTATGGATTTGTGGAGTTGGAGTGTTGGGCGAGAGGCGCTGTGGAGGAAATGTAGTTTAGGTTCCCCCTGAGACTCGCACCTGAGAGGAAGGGGAAAGACACGAGGACCAGTCAATACTCCAGGCTCACGGGATGAAAAGAGGTGATTACGAGGGTGAAGGGATGGTAATCAAACTGGATATTCATTTATTAAAAGCCAAAGAATCAAACTGTGAAAGCATGATGAATGAACTACCTGTAATGAAATCAGTTTTTATGTCTCAGAACAGTATGGTCCAATCACTAGTTTTCACGTGCTTGTATTTTTGTTCTTGTCTTTTTCATTTTAGACAGACGTACAACAATCAATGTAGATACTTAAAACATGGTTTTTAGATTTGGAACCATAAATACTCAGCTCTTGTAATAATAATAATAATGCATCGGTTTTATATAGCGCTGTTTTGGACACTCAAAGACGCTTTACATGTCATTATTCTTTCACTCCATACACGGTGGTGATAAACTACTACTGTAGCCACAGCTGCCCTGGGGCACACTGACAGAAGCGAGGCAACCAGTATGTGCCATCGGCCCCTCCGACCACCACCAACCATTCACACACACACCAGACTCATTCTAGGCAATGAGGGTGAACAACAGTTACAGCCGCAGCCGCGTACCTTTATACGTCATTATTTTTTATTAAATTGTCTTTTATATGTGTAATACAAAACATGATCTTGCATTCTATGGCAGTAAAAGACCCTTTTCTCAAGGAACTAGTTCTGGACTGGTTCTGAGTCAAGTCAGCTTGGTTTTAGTTACCACCATAGCAGCACACTGTTTAATCTCAACAGTTAACATTTGGAAGCCTTTCAACAATCTATTTATACAGTATTTCCAGTTTCATTAACCCATTTTAGCACAAGTGACTGGGAAAAAAACAAATTAATTAATTAATACATTTTTCACAATTCCATTCATTTGAAGTGGAGCAGTTGGAGTTTGAGTAGTTTCAGAATTCTGGGAGTCCTAATATAAAAAAAACAATTGTTGCTATCTTTGTTGCTTTCTCGACTAAAAGCCTTATTGAGGCTGGAATGGTCTTGATGTTAATTGTAAATGACAAAACAACCAATACACACACACACACACAGTGCCAATAAAACAGTTACAAAAACATGTGCAGCAATGTTTATACAATGCTCAACCCAAATTATAAAAATGCAGCTGGAGCACCGGAGGATTTAATTTGACGAACGTTTGAATATAATTATTATTTTGAGATGCATAATATTGAAAAGCCTTCTGTGATAAGGCAGAATTAAAAACACCAGAGGAAGAAGCTTGCATACAAACAATATCCTCACAATCAAAAACAGAAATAAAAATCCCCTATTTATTTTCTGTCATTTATTGTTATACACAATTGATCCCTGCAATAGATTGATAACCTGGATTGTATACTAAACTATTGTTTCATTAATATTAGTATTTCTCATCAAGCCATGGTTTGGTTCCATATTTATTCTGGTTGAGATGTTGAGGTTCTAACCGTGCATACGTTTTAATGAGATAGCATAATGTATAAAGCTGCCATCCATGAACAAGAATATACAAATAAGCCTCCATGTCTGAGCTAGAAATCTTATGCATTTCCTCTTGTCCAAGCTCTCCCAAAACACAAAGATAAGATAAGTTAAGATAGACTTTATTGATCTCACACAGGAGAAATTTACATGTCACATCTGGTATGGATAGAATCATTCAAGATTGTGCAAAAGAAAGAAATGTGCAAACATATTAAATGCAGGATATATTATGTACAATAAAAGTGGCAAATTAAAAAAGTGGCAACAGGAAACAGTGTCAATAGTAGTGCAGGTTTTTCCGTCCTAGTGCAAGTGACTTAAAGTGACTTATTGTACAGTCTGACAGCGGTGGGGATAAAGGCCCTGCGGTCCTTCTTGCACTGAGGGTGTCTCAAAGCAGTGCTCGCGAAGATCTATGATATCAAGTGGAATTGGGGATAAACTTAAAATGTCATCTTCAGTTGTATGCACAGTGAAACAGAAGCGTTTTAACTTGTCTCACACTCCTAGCTTCCCTGTTTCTTAAAATGGCAATACAAATAATTCTGATTCTGATGTCGGTTTGGGATTGTACATTATTTGTGTTTGTGTTTTGTGCTGTTTTTTTTTTCTTGCGGGTATGTCAAATGTGTTTTTTGTCCGTTGTGTTCTTGTGAAATGTATTCTAGTGTTAGCCAGGTTAACCTCCACAATCACAAACTCTATATTTCCTTTGACCACTCCTGACCAATTCACTTCCCTCTCCTCTTTTACAGTGTCTCTGCAGATGAAGCATGGTGTTTAGGTTACCCCTGGGAGCCACACTTTGAGGGGTGTATTCCAATCAATAAGAAGCGGAGTGAAAAGCAGTGATTACGCTTATCCAATAGTCGACCGTGAAGGCGTTGTAATCAAAGCAGTCCTTCCTCAAAAAACCTACCCCACGTCTTCAAAAGCAATCCGCCATGATCTCTTTTGCAACTTTTTATGCAAATAACAATCAGACGTGTTGTGAACTGCCTCTCTGTAGCATTTACAAAAGCAATTTGAGAAGGTAGAGGCATCTCCTGATTCACCACAATTAAAAGCTAAAAATACCAGCGTGAATTTGAAAGGTCTGAAAGCGTGCCAGTGCTGTCAGAGAGGCAGACGATCCAAAACAAGACGAAAAGCATAACGGAACACACATAGAAAATAATTAAAAACTAATATTTACTGAGTTCTTTTCAACAGGAAGCCAAACGAGAATAAATTCAAGTTGAAACATCAGTCACGTATTTGTTTCATGGGAAAAAAATAGTTTGCCAAATCAGTCGAATGGTTTAGAAATGGCTTGGAGTGAAATCGGATTTTTAATATTTTTTTTCTTTTTATTGAAATTTCTGTTCGAAGACAAAATGAGCAGACTTTGAAGACCCTCCACAGATATAGATGCCGGTTTCTATCAACATTTTAATAAAAGCAGCTAAAAAGAAAGTATGCATCTTTTTATTTTATATTATTTTTTCTTTTTCTTTTAAAGCAGCATAATGTACCCAGAACTTTGAATAGGGTTATAAAGTGACTATGTGCGTCATGTCAAGATACAAGATGCCAAAACGGATGACGTACTCAGTGAATGTCTCAGGCAGTGGCGAGATGAGGAGGTGCTGGAGGAGAGCCCATCATGGGAGAACAAGCCCCTACACGGCATGTACCACCGGAGCATAACAGAAGTGGCTGATCTCAAGAAGTCCTACCAATGGCTAGAAAGGGCTGGCCTACAGGACAGCACAGAGGCACTCATCATGGCTGCACAGGAGCAGGCCCTGAGCACCAGAGCGATAGAGGCCCAGATATACCACACCAGACAAGACCCAAGGTGTCGGTTGTGCAAAGAGGCACCTGAGACGATCCAACACATGACTGCAGGGTGCAAGATGCTGGCAGGGAAGGCCTACATGGAACGCCATAACCAAGTGGCTGGCATAGTGTACAGAAACATCTGTGCAGAGTATGGGCTGGAAACCCCAAGGTCTAAGTGGGAAACTCCTCCAAAGGTGGTGGAGAGTGAGCGTGCGAAGATCCTGTGGGACTTCCAGATACAGACCGACCGAATGGTAATGGCGAACCAACCTGACATTGTGGTGGTAGACAAAGGGCAGAGGACAGCCGTGGTGGTGGACGTGGCAATTCCAAGCGATGGTAACATCCGGAAAAAAGAACATGAAAAGCTTGAGAAATACCAAGGTCTCAGAGAGGAGCTGGAGAGGGCCTGGAGGGTAAAGGTGACAGTAGTGCCCGTGGTGATCGGTGCACTCGGGGCAGTGACCCCGAAGCTAGATGAGTGGTTACAGCGGATCCCCGGAACAACCTCGGACATCTGGGTCCAGAAATGTTGTGGTGACAGTTTTTGGAGTAATTACATAAAACCAGCCGCAGCAAATACACGGACGTCAAAGGCCTTTTATCAATGCAGAGACGCCCTTCTGACGCCATGCTGAGCTTTGTGAGGGCCCCCTGCTGTCTGTCACACCCTTGTGTCTTCCGTGTCTTGCATCTGTATGACCTGCATTTAGACCATTGTCTGTCTGTTCGCACCTCGTTCCCAGACGGCGCCAAACGCTCCCCATGCGCCTCCTCACCGGTGGCCCCCTCCAATCTGTTGTGGGCGGGACTGTCTCTCGTGTGTGTCTTGTATACAGGAAACTTGGGGCTCTGGCCCAGAGCTGGGACATGCTGCTTTTTGAGTGTATGTGTTGGCTCTCCGCACGTGCGTTAACAATAAACTTACGCTTTTGATCAGACAAAGGACCTTTGAGTTTTCTCCTTCATGGGGTATATAATTCTATAACAATTTGGCGTTGCTGACATGTCTTGGCATGGATACTTTCGGCGGGGACGAGCGGCTTTGTTTGGCCGACCTGGATCACCAGCCTCTGTTCCTTTTTGGAGACAAAGGAGGGCGCGCTCGTCCCGCGCACGGAAGGAATCCTTTTGCCACACAAGACCAAAAAGAACCTAATCTGGTGAGTCTTGTCTTTTCATCTGCGTAACGAGCCCAGGGCAGCACTTAAGTGTACACGGGGATTTGTTTATTTATGTGGGGGGGGGGGGGGGGGGGGGGGGGGGGGGGGGGGGGGGGGGGGGGGGGGGGGGGGGGGGGGGGGGGGGGGGGGGGGGGGGGGGGGGGGGGGGGGGGGGGGGGGGGGGGGGGGGGGGGGGGGGGGGGGGGGGGGGGGGGGGGGGGGGGGGGGGGGGGGGGGGGGGGGGGGGGGGGGGGGGGGGGGGGGGGGGGGGGGGGGGGGGGGGGGGGGGGGGGGGGGGGGGGGGGGGGGGGGGGGGGGGGGGGGGGGGGGGGGGGGGGGGGGGGGGGGGGGGGGGGGGGGGGGGGGGGGGGGGGGGGGGGGGGGGGGGGGGGGGGGGGGGGGGGGGGGGGGGGGGGGGGGGGGGGGGGGGGGGGGGGGGGGGGGGGGGGGGGGGGGGGGGGGGGGGGGGGGGGGGGGGGGGGGGGGGGGGGGGGGGGGGGGGGGGGGGGGGGGGGGGGGGGGGGGGGGGGGGGGGGGGGGGGGGGGGGGGGGGGGGGGGGGGGGGGGGGGGGGGGGGGGGGGGGGGGGGGGGGGGGGGGGGGGGGGGGGGGGGGGGGGGGGGGGGGGGGGGGGGGGGGGGGGGGGGGGGGGGGGGGGGGGGGGGGGGGGGGGGGGGGGGGGGGGGGGGGGGGGGGGGGGGGGGGGGGGGGGGGGGGGGGGGGGGGGGGGGGGGGGGGGGGGGGGGGGGGGGGGGGGGGGGGGGGGGGGGGGGGGGGGGGGGGGGGGGGGGGGGGGGGGGGGGGGGGGGGGGGGGGGGGGGGGGGGGGGGGGGGGGGGGGGGGGGGGGGGGGGGGGGGGGGGGGGGGGGGGGGGGGGGGGGGGGGGGGGGGGGGGGGGGGGGGGGGGGGGGGGGGGGGGGGGGGGGGGGGGGGGGGGGGGGGGGGGGGGGGGGGGGGGGGGGGGGGGGGGGGGGGGGGGGGGGGGGGGGGGGGGGGGGGGGGGGGGGGGGGGGGGGGGGGGGGGGGGGGGGGGGGGGGGGGGGGGGGGGGGGGGGGGGGGGGGGGGGGGGGGGGGGGGGGGGGGGGGGGGGGGGGGGGGGGGGGGGGGGGGGGGGGGGGGGGGGGGGGGGGGGGGGGGGGGGGGGGGGGGGGGGGGGGGGGGGGGGGGGGGGGGGGGGGGGGGGGGGGGGGGGGGGGGGGGGGGGGGGGGGGGGGGGGGGGGGGGGGGGGGGGGGGGGGGGGGGGGGGGGGGGGGGGGGGGGGGGGGGGGGGGGGGGGGGGGGGGGGGGGGGGGGGGGGGGGGGGGGGGGGGGGGGGGGGGGGGGGGGGGGGGGGGGGGGGGGGGGGGGGGGGGGGGGGGGGGGGGGGGGGGGGGGGGGGGGGGGGGGGGGGGGGGGGGGGGGGGGGGGGGGGGGGGGGGGGGGGGGGGGGGGGGGGGGGGGGGGGGGGGGGGGGGGGGGGGGGGGGGGGGGGGGGGGGGGGGGGGGGGGGGGGGGGGGGGGGGGGGGGGGGGGGGGGGGGGGGGGGGGGGGGGGGGGGGGGGGGGGGGGGGGGGGGGGGGGGGGGGGGGGGGGGGGGGGGGGGGGGGGGGGGGGGGGGGGGGGGGGGGGGGGGGGGGGGGGGGGGGGGGGGGGGGGGGGGGGGGGGGGGGGGGGGGGGGGGGGGGGGGGGGGGGGGGGGGGGGGGGGGGGGGGGGGGGGGGGGGGGGGGGGGGGGGGGGGGGGGGGGGGGGGGGGGGGGGGGGGGGGGGGGGGGGGGGGGGGGGGGGGGGGGGGGGGGGGGGGGGGGGGGGGGGGGGGGGGGGGGGGGGGGGGGGGGGGGGGGGGGGGGGGGGGGGGGGGGGGGGGGGGGGGGGGGGGGGGGGGAAATAGGGGGGGTGGGGGGGGGGGGGGGGGGGGGGGCGGAGTGGGGGGGTGGGGGGGGGGGGGTGGGGGGGGGGGGGGGGGGGGGGGGGGGGGGGGGGGGGGGGGGGGGGGGGGGGGGGGGGGGGGGGGGGGGGGGGGGTGGGGGGGGGGGGGGGGGGGGGGGGGGGGGGGGGGGGGGGGGGGGGGGGGGGGGGGGGGGGGGGGGGGGGGGGGGGGGGGGGGGGGGGGGGGGGGGGGGGGGGGGGGGGGGGGGGGGGGGGGGGGGGGGGGGGGGGGGGGGGGGGGGGGGGGGGGGGGGGGGGGGGGGGGGGGGGGGGGGGGGGGGGGGGGGGGGGGGGGGGGGGGGGGGGGGGGGGGGGGGGGGGGGGGGGGGGGGGGGGGGGGGGGGGGGGGGGGGGGGGGGTAAGAATATTATAATATGAAATATACTTACATTTATACACTACAGTGGAGCCAGGGGTAGCTGCTGCCGGTGCCTCCATACTGAAAATAAAACCCCGCGAATCAAACCCTCAACGCGGGGAAGGCAGCGAAGCATACATCAGATGCATCCTTCAAATCTGCTCCAAAAGTGGCCGTTTCCATAGAGACGAAGTCATGATGCCTACGCTTGGCGAGCTCGCCAAGTGGTTTTGGACACCCCTGCAATAGCCGTCGCTTGAGGAAGTGACGTCACGATGCCTACATATCCACCCTACGCGGCCCGATGCCTACCGTTTTGGACACAGCCCTAGTGTTAAGCAGCCTTTGCAGAGCACATTAGCATGAGCTCCGAGAAGGTTTTGCTAGGGAAACTGCCAAGGAGGATGCGTACTTCAGTTCATAGCAAACAACAGCAAGTGCCCCGCAGTCAAGCACATATTCTTTTAAAACTTGAATTCCCAGGGACCTGTTCTGTTGCCATCTCACCACTCGCGGCCATTTTGGATAGCTCCAGTAGAGCACATTTTTTGGCCCATTGGTTAGAGCGGCGGAGATAGGCGTGACTCTGTCCATTAATATATACAGTCTATGGTAAATACCAGTGGGGGCGGGTCCCAGCTCAAAAGTGGCCAAAATGACGTGCGCTGACATGCTTGCAATACCACCCCGGGCCGTTGGGGGTGGACCCAGAAGTACAATTAGCCAATGCTAACATATAGCGTTAGCAGACCTCTCAAAAACGTATTTACAAGATAGACCAAAAGTTTGCTCTTGGTCCAAAGCTCCGTTCCACATGTGTGTCAATGGTGAGGGGGGTGAATTTTTTTGGTCAACTCTAGTTTACTTGCTGTGAATTTTTGAAGTCTCCTGTTCAAATGAATGGAGCTGCGCCGGCTGACGCATGCGCAGATGCGTTTTTTCACAATTTTCTTGTGGGCGGGACCACTCGCGGCCATCTTGGATTGCTCCGGGAAAGCACTTTTCACGGCCAACTCCTATGAACGGCGGAGATAGGCGTGACTCTGTCCGTTAATATATACAGTATATGGCAATACCACCCCGGGCCGATGGGGGTGGACCATGGATGTATTATATTAACTGGATAGTTAGCTTGTAGCCGACAAACTCGTGTGCTCAGGAGATTCTCGCGGTACTGCAGACTGAACCAGACTAAATTCACGTGGGCTACCCAGAAATTTTCCCCATAGAACTCAATGCATATTAAAACAGCTCAACCTCAGCTGACAGAGAACCTACAGCTTTAATAAAGATCGGATTTTGTGGGGATTTTAGTGTCCCTTGTCATCCTGAACTTTTTTTCTTCTTAAATCCTTCGGTTTTGTTTAAATCCACACTTTAGTGCCACAAACTCTACTCCTCTGGCTCTGGCTCTAACTCCCGCTCTGATGAACTGCTCTGATTGGTCAGAGCGCGGCCGAGCCCCTCTGTGCACGCGTGAGACCCGGTGTGAGACCCACACACGCGTGTTTGGCGCAACGCATTATGGGAGATCATCCACTGCGCAGAACCGGGAGGACCAGACGATGCCCAAATACAGGCGAGTTTCCCATAGATCTTTGCGAGTTTCCCAAAGTTCTTTGCGAGTTTCCCATAGATCTTTGCGAGTTTCAGGCAACTTCCGCTAATCTTTTCAGCCCCCATGCCGTCACAAAGCGCCACTGAGCACAACCATTCATTTGAATAGGGCGCCATCTTGAATCGCCGGGGCTTGGGGTGGACCCCAGAAGAAGAATTAGCCAATGATAACATATAGCATCGGCAGACCTCTCAAAAACGTCTTTACAGGATGGACCTAAAGTTGGCTCTTGGCCCAAAGCTCCGTTCCACATGTGTGTCAATGCTGAGGGGGGTGAATTCTTTTGGACCACTCTAGTTTACTTGCTGTGAATTTTTGAAGTCTCTCGTTCAAATGAATGGAGCTGCGCCAAGCCCCGGCGATCCAAGATGGCGCCCTATTCAAATGAATGGTTGTGCTCAGTGGCGCTTTGTGACGGCATGGGGGCTGAAGGATTAGCGGAAGTTGCCTGAAACTCGCAAAGATCTATGGGAAACTCAAAGATCTATGGGAAACTCGCCTGTATTTGGGCATCGTCTGGTCCTCCCGGTTCTGCGCAGTGGATGATCTCCCATAATGCGTTGCGCCAAACACGCGTGTGTGGGTCTCACACCGGGTCTCACGCACGTGCACAGAGGGGCTCGGCCGCGCTCTGACCAATCAGAGCAGTTCATCAGAGCGGGAGTTAGAGCGAGAGCCAGAGGAGCAGAGTTTGTGGCACTAAAGTGTGGATTTAAACAAAACCGAAGGATTTAAGAAGAAAAAAAGTTCAGGATGACAAGGGACACTAAAATCCCCACAAAATCCGATCTTTATTAAAGCTGTAGGTTCTCTGTCAGCTGAGGTTGAGCTGTTTTAATATGCATTGAGTTCTATGGGGAAAATTTCTGGGTAGCCCACGTGAATTTAGTCTGGTTCAGTCTGCAGTACCGCGAGAATCCCCTGAGCACACGAGTTTGTCGGCTACAAGCTAACTATCCAGTTAATATAATACATCCATGAGCTGCGCCGGCTGACGCATGTGCAGAAGCGTTTTTTCCCAATTTTCTTGTGGGCGGGACCGCTCGCGGCCATTTTGGATAGCTCCAGTAGAGCACATTTTTTGGTCCATTAGTTAGAACGGCGGAGATAGGCGTGACTCTGTCCGTTAATATATACAGTCTATGGTAAATGCGCATCCGCGCATGCGTCAGCAGGCACGAGCGCCATTCATTTAGCAAGCGCCTTCTAAAGTTCACAACGACTAAACTAGAGTGGTTCAAAGAAATTCACTCCCCGTTTTTCAGAGGTAAGAAGATGCTATGTTAGCATTGGCTAATTCTCATCGCGGGTCGCCCCACCGGTTGCACCTGACGTCACGCAGTGTCGCAAAAGTGCTCCGGGGGACGGGAAGTAAAAGAACAATGTAAATATGCACTCATTCCGGGTCATAATGATCTTTTTTTGTGGCGTGTACAGTTGTGGCAACTGCTCACATCAAGTGTGGAACTTATGGAGTCTACATTACTAAAATGTATTTCTCTTATCGGTGTCGATTTTTAGGAAAATGCCTAACATGGAAAAGAATAAAGCGTTAGCATTAGCCTGGGTAGCATCCGCGGCCGCAGACACAGCGGACGGTTCGCAGTCTTTACTTCGCTGACTTTCATAGATACAACGCAGTATTTTTGTGTGGTATACGGTTTAACCAAGGCAACAGAGAAGAACTGTTATACATTTTTAATGCCAAAGGTTGTCTCGAACCAACATGTACATGTGTAACAAAGCTAAAGGCAGGCTGTACAATCTTAAGTCTTCTCATAAATAATCTAGTCATTGTGGAATGAGTCATTGTTCGTTTTTATTCCCATGACTGCGAGGACCAGGGTAATGTCTGAAGTTGTATCTGAACTCTGGCCCCAGGACGCCTGCGTTCTTTGCAGCCCCCGTTGTTAGCTTACTGCTGTTAGCTTAACGCTAACAGCAACTTTTTGTTGTTTACAGCTCAACAAATCACTGAAATGACAATAAAGGGTCATATTTCTCGCCTCAAATGTTGTTAAAAGTTATATTTTTTCCGTATTTATTGTATTATTGATCAAAACTATCATCTCAGACGTGGTTCTATTGATCCCAGAGTGATCATTTCCACTGTCGTCAACATAACAGCCGCTTAATCCTCCTCATTGTTGAAAACATTTGACTCATTCAAACTCTACAAGGCGTACACTGCAATGAAAATTGTTTTCACTCAAAATAAGAGTGATACTGAGCCACGAAAAGCTCCTGTGTATGTTTTCCCCATAGACTGTATATATTAACGGACAGAGTCACGCCTATCCCCGCGTTCACAGGAGTTGGCCATGAAAAGTGCTTTCATGGAGCAATCCAAGATGGCCGCGAGGGGTCCCGCCCACAAGAAAATAGTGAAAAAACGCATCTGCGCATGCGTCAGCCGGTGCAGCTCCATTCATTTGAACGAGAGACTTCAAAAATTCCCGCGGGTAAACTAGAGTGAACCAAAAATATTTGGCATTGACACACATGTGGAGCGGAGCTTTGGGCCAAGAGCCAACTTTTGGTCCATCCTGTAAAGACGTTTTTGAGAGGTCTGCCGATGCTATATGTTAGCATTGGCTAACTCTTCTTCTTGTCCACCCCCAACGGCCCGGGGTGGTATTGCAAGCATGTCAGCGCATGTCATTTTGGCCACTTTTGAGCTGGGATCCTCCCCCACTGGTTTTCCCACATTGCCCGTTCTATTTCATATGAGAAAAATACTTCCTGTCCTACGGCCACGCCCCCTTTTGGTCACGTGGTTGCGACCCAGCAATATAGTTTCTGATTATCAATATAAATGTTTTGGCTTTTTAATCACACTTTTGTAGACTTTAGTATGAACAGGCCGAGTACCTACTCACATTTAAAAAATAAAAAGGTAATTTCATACAAATAATGACTTCTACCGTACATATAGCATTTTACTTTGAACTAAAGCAGAGAAAATGATCCGAACAAAGCGGCTCAACCTCCGCTGATATGACCGATCCTGCTCCACCCAAAAGCTAGACCTGCTCCAGTTTAAGAAAAAAAATGGAAGAAAAAATCAATACAAATTTAAATGTCATGGAGGAGGTTCAACTGTAACTGAACAAAACAGTTTTCACACAGTGCGGCAGAGAAATTACGATTCAACTAAGAAGCACTGGAACACTTTAATGAAAAACCCTTAGATAGAAAATAACATACACATTAAGTAATACATACTGTAGGAAACAGAACAGGCCAATGTCTGTCAACACTACAAGATTCTTACAGCAAGAAAGATACTTCACAGCATGTCAGGGAAATGAGAATGTAAAAGGCATTTACGGTGACATGTGCACACCAACGGAAAACATAAAGAAGCAGCCTTTATAATAAATATCAAAAACAAGTAGCTTT